TTTCCTCTCTGACGTGAATGAGTTTTCTTACTGCCGTCATGCTTCTGTTTATATTCTTTCTTCTTATTAGACTCTGAGGATGCAATGAAGTTAGACTCACAGAATCTCTGTGGATTTTTGTCACTTGGTGCCCATAACTTAATACCTGTTAATACAGCACTGCAAAGATTTTTCTGAGTGGGGACTTTTGTGTGTGTGTGACAGAACGAATGATCATTTATGTATAAACACACATATGTGAGCTTTTCTTCCAAAGTTATGTCACGCAATCAGGTTTGAAAGTCATTTTAAAATATTTGATTGAGTGAATGAGTGTGTAAAGATTTGCAATGTATATGTAAATATTCTTAACTCAGAAGTATATGCTGGATAGCTTTTCTCTTTCTAAGTTTTAAATTGTGAAATAATGTGGTCATAAAGAAAAACACCAAATAATATAAGTGGAAATAGGCACACTTTTTCAAAACAACATTTTGCTCTGTTTTTAACTTTTTTTTGATGAGAGGAGGTAATTAGGTTTATCTGTTAATTTTTTTTTAACGGAGGTACTGGGGATTGAACCCAGGACCTCATGCATGCTAAGCACACACTCTACCACTGAGCTAGAACTTCCCCCTCTGTTTTTACTTCTATCACTCCTATCTATCACTTCTATTTTCCTTCTTCTCTTCCTAAGAGGTCAACGTTACCCAAAGTGCTGCGTATTATTCATGCTTTTCCTCCACAGGCATCTGTCAATAGTCAATGTATGGTAATATTTTATGTGTTATTACATATATATGGAGTCATATTCTAGATTACAATTCTGTCATTTTATTGCCCTCAACATCAGGCTTTTGAAATTCATCCAGGTGAATTTTGTGAGTCTAGCTCCTTGTTTACTGTGTAGAGTTCAGTTGTTAACCCTACCATGGAATATTATTCAGCCCCCCAAAAGGAATGAAGCACTGTTACATGTCACAACTTGGATGTACCTTGGAAACGTTACACTCAGTGAAAGAAGCCAGAGGGAAAAGACCACCTGTTGTAGAGTCCCATTTATGTGACATATCCAGAATGGACAGTCCTTAGAGACAGAAAGCAGGTAGTGATTGCCGGGGGCTGGGGGAGGGGAGGGATGGGGGTGACTGCAAGTGGGTCTGAGGCATCTTTTTGGGGTGATGACAATGTTGTGCTGGGATTACATAGTGGCGGTGGTGGTGCAGCCTTGTGAACAGACTGAAGACCATGAACTGTACACTTTAGAGGTGTAGATTTTATGGTATGTGAGTTATGTCTCGATAAAACGAATCTTGGAAAAGAACTTGGTTCTGTGCACACGGTTTCTCTTCATTCTTTCCTGGACTGCTGGATGTCTGGGTTGTTTCCAGTGCTGCTCTGTCAGCAAAATGCTGCGATAAACATCCTTGGACCTGCCTTCTGGCTTACATGCGTGATCTCGCTAGGGTTTATATTTAGAAGTAGAATCTGTCTCCTGTGATGTCTGCAAATTTAATCCCACTAGGAGAAGCAAACTGGTAACTAAGGTGGTTTTACCTGTTTATACTTCCACCAGGGACGCATAAGTTTCCTATTCCCTGCATCCTTGCCAATTCACAAATGTATTAAACTTTGTCATTTTGGCTGATTAAAATAGTCGAACTCATAACCCATTCTAAGCTGCCTGTATGGAAATATCTCATTGTTGCTTTAATCTGCATTTTCTTGATTGTTAGTGAAGACTGTTCACCATTTGGGATTTCTTTCCTGTGGACTGATGGCTTCTAGCCATTGATCGGTCACTTTCCTGTTGAATTGCTGGTATTCTTACTGATTGAAAGGGCATAATTATCTGGTAGCCACACCTTTCCTCTGTAAGCTATACATTACAAATGTTTTCTGTACGTAGGTGACATACTTTCGTTCTTTTTTGTATCTTTTAATATTAGCTACTCTAATTCATCTTTTTTATTGATATTTTGAGAGACTTGTGTCCTGAGGCTTTATGTGAGGAATACACTCTCCCATATGTTCTTCTAAATTAAAAAAATTTAAATTTTGTTTTTCATATTTAATGCTATCTGAAATTAAGTTTTGTCTAAGGTGTGAGGTAAAGACCGAAGTTTCCCACTTGGATAGCCCATCGTCCCAGTACCCTTAATTGAAAGGCTTGTTCTTTTTTTCTTTTCAAGTTGTGACATTTGATGACATATGATCATTTCTACTTCATTTCTACACCAGCTTCCCCTGCTAGCGTGGTTCAGACATGTGCATGGGAATGACAAAAGGGAAAACCTAATGTGAAAAGTCTTAACAGCAAAGAAAGAAGGGAGGAGGGAGGGTAGGAGGAAGGGAGGAAGAAATTGCATCATGTAACCAAACTAAGGAAAAGACGTTAGAGAAACCTTCAGACAACTACATCCACACACTCAGTGCCACTTTCTTTCACTTTATGTCTCTCGTCTCTATTTCTATTTCTGCGTTATCATCATCATTCAGACCAGCTGTCCCTGTGGGTCTGGGGCTGATCGCAACAAGTCTGGGCTCACAGCCTCGCAGACTTTCAGCCAAAGAGGTGAAGGGGGCGGTTTCTACTTACTGGATCAATTTAAAAAAGATATTATTGGCTATCTTTGGAAGATGCTAGAAACACAACTCGCAAAACTGTGAAGCACAGAGGAAAGAAATCAAGCATTTCTCCTGCCTTTCATTTCATAGCCTGTACCTCAGGACAACCAAACAGTTGAAGAAGTAAAATTTCTACTCATGCAAATGCTACAACGCATACATAAAGAAGAAAATCTCTAAGTCTTAGCTGTGGCTAATGCACGCCCACGTCTTCAGGAGTAATAAAAGAGCATGTGGTATAAGTGTCTTTCTATCCAGAAACTGTACCTACCTGATATAAGGGACATTCAGAGACACAGCAGAGGGGACATCAAATGATCAAATCAAAGGGATATATATTTTTGAAAGTTGTGCTGATGACAGAGGCAGATTGGATCCAAAATCCTAGACCAGAGGTCAGCAAACTTTTTCTGAAAACGACCAGAGGACAATTACTTTCAGCCTCTGAGGATCGGAGGATCTCTGTTGAGATGATGTGTCTCTGCTCTTGAATCAGTAAGTCAGCCATTGCTGATACTCGAATGAACAGGGGCAACTGTGTTCCAATAAAGCTTTATTTACAAATGCAAGTCGTGGGCCATAGTTTGCCAGCCCCTGTCCTAGACCAAAGCTTTTTTGAGATCTGAATGAACCACCAGCATAAGAGTTGAATTAAGCCAGGAAATACGTTCTAGGATGCAAGGAAAGACTTCTTTTTTTTTTTAACTCCTTTGTCAGTTTTCAGATCTATAAACGTGAGAAACCGGCAGGATAGGATAGTTTCTGGGGCCCTTTCCATCTTTGATGTGCTAAGACCCAGGGCCATCCATCCTCTGGGGGGGGGGGTTGGTTTTGCCCAAGGAAGGGGGCCCAACCAGCATCTCTTTGGAAAGAGTCCCAGCAGGTTCTGCAACCTGCATGGGGCCTGTTTCCTAGGAAGCTTTGCAGCTTGTGGTTTTGCTTTTGCAGATTTGCAGATCGTTGTAAAATAGAGAGAATGAAAGTAGACTGAGCAGGGGGGTCACGGGGCCAAGAGCAGAGAAGCCTCCTGACTCTTGGGACCCTGGCCTGTCCCTGACTCTCTCACTGCCTTTGTTTCTCCCTCCAGTGTGTCTGTCTCTCTGCTCTGTGTGTATTTATGTGTGCATATATGTATGTGTGTTTGTGTGTGCATGCATGTGTGTATTCAGTGGCTACTGCAGGAGAAGACAGAAAATAGAGGAGAGTAAGTGGTCAGGATGCTTGAAGAAAGGGAAAGAAGATACTTTACATGGAAGGCAAACGTAATAAATATGGGGTGGAGCCTCTGCCATGCAGTCTCTCTCTCTCATTCTCTCTCTCACACACACACACTCATGCACACCCAAGACTGTACTGGCCTCCTCCAGCTGCCACAATAAAATACCCTAATTGGGCTATTTAAACAAGAGACATTTGTTTCCTCGGTTCTGGAGGCTGAAATTCCAAGATCAAGGTGTTGGCCAATTCAGTTTCCGGTGAGATCTCTCCTCCTGGCTGTGGATGGTCACCTTCTCCCTGTGTCCTCCAGTAACCTTTCCTCCACATGACACTAATCCTATTGATCAAGGCCCCACCCTTATGACCTCATTTAACCTTAATTATTTCCTCAGAGGCTCCGTCTCCAAATACAACCATACTGGAGTTTGCAGCTCCAACGTAACGAATTTGGAGGGGACATAAACATTTGGTCCATAAGACACACACTCACAATGTTCCATACAGATATCCAGAGCCTCTATACATACACAGTCCCACACCAGCACACACTATTATGGGTTGAATTTTGTCCACCCCTCCCCCCCCAGTTCATGTCTTCAAGTCCTAAAGCTCTAGTACCTCAGAAAGTAACCTCATGTGCAGAAGGGGGTCCCTGCAGGTTAACTAAGAGGGTGAGCTCATCCTGGAATAGGGTAAGCCTGCATCCATTGTGACCACATCCTTGTAGACGGGGGACATTTGGACACAGACACACTCACACGGGGAGAGCACCCTGTGAAGATGGAGGCAGAGGTCGGGGCG